AAGAACGAGAGATGAATGCATTATTTGTCTTATAACTTTGTTAACATCATTAAGTTTTTTTAACATAAAAGCTATCGCAACATCGGCTGTAAACAAATTAGCACCCCGCCGGCAAAGAGACTCAACTGTTGCTTTTACTGGGACTAGGGCATTAATGATAGCAATTACATTTTTAATTTCATTATCAGATAAAGCCAAAGATTCACATTCCGTTAGACTTATGTCTATTAATGCTTTTTGTATACAATTTTTAAATAAATAGACGCGTTGAAGTATTCACAAACGATTGTTCCATCTAGTCTTGAAGTCTTTTATTGGAGTTATTTGCTTCCCAAATTTAGCCGGAAAACACTTCTGAAAGATATTGTTTTTTTTTGTAGTTGTCTGAACATTAGCATTGATTTTTGTACCTTCGTGATTTTTTTTTGTATCTGTGATTTTTCTTTTGTACCTTTTTGATTTTTCTTTTGTACCTTTTTGATTTTTCTTTTGTATCTTTGTGATTTTTTTTTTGTATCTTTGTGATTTTTCTTTTGTATTTTTGTGATTTTTCTTCAGGCTGCAATATTGGAAAATAACTGGTTAGCGTTATGGTTTTTTTTATTGGTGGCTCATCTGGCGTGTTTGTTGAAATAGTAGCTGGTGTGATGTAATTTTATGGACGGAAAGTAAGTGCATATGGAGACCTTTTGTTGAACCACCTCCAATTTTTAGAATTATATTGCACTCAGAATACTAAGAAATGTTTCTGAACCGAAGAGTTACTATTTTTTTATCATATTCTATGTAAAAAACCATTATAATTTAAGAAAATTTACTGTTCAAATAACCAGCAATTTTAGTTCAATTACAAGTAGTGCTATCAAATAATCATAAACAAATAATGTCTAATCGACATAAAAATTGTAAGAAACTTGAATAAATGTAAATAAGCACCAACAAATTTTAGGAAAGTAATTGCGATCTTTTTCCAATTAGGGGAAAGCGGGGCAACATGGCGAATGGGTTTTCATATAAGAACTCAACAAAAAATCTTAAAATTGGGTGAAAACGAAACTGTATATGCATCTTGTATTTTAATACACTAATTGACTTATTGAAATATTATTAACGTAATTTTATACACATAAGTTTACTTTTAGCGCCTAAAAAAAATTCCTCACTTTCGGTTTTTCAAAATGGATAGTGCCCTTCAAGTATAACTTCTTTAGAAGTAGGTTTTTGCAATTTTTGTTTATTTTTTGTTACTTTAGTTAGAGTTATTGGTAGTTTTAACTTTTTTATAAAATTGGAGGTAAAAATTGCATAATAAGTCATCTTGCCCCGGTCACGTGACCTGATGACAAATTAATGAACTTTTTATTTTAATATTTATTTCAAATTGTTATATTTGCAAACTGAAAATTCATGCAGACAATGAAAGAATATAATAACATAAACATACTGAGAAAGTATTATGGCTTCACGATTTATAGTTTTGCAACAACTCAGGGCTTTCAAAACGTTCGCCATGTTGCCCCGCTTTCCCCTATTATAAAAAAATAAATTCAATTATTCACAACCATAATTGCAAGAATTTCAAAATTGTATAGTTCGAATTTAATTGCAATCAAATGAAATTATTTAGGAGTTTTCAATATAAAAATAATCAAATTTAAAGCGAAGAAATTTTAATTTAACGAAAATTCACTGATAATAAAAATAATTAAATTGAAATCGATATGGTTTTTTTACAAATTTTACAGTCAAATTCTGAAACAAATTCTGAAACAAACTCCAATTAAAACAAAGTTTTTATAAAGCAATTATATTTATATTTCACTTTATAGTAATAACAAAGCAATTATATTTCACTTTTTTGTTTTGTCTGTAAAAGAACTAATATGGCGTTAATTCCAAACAGTATTGTATATTTTTATTATTATTATTGTTATTATTGCTATTATTATTATCATTATTGTTATTATCATTATTATTATTATTATTATTATTATTATTATTATTATTATTATTATCATTATTATTATTCTTATATTATTTTCCTGAAAAACGACAACTATTTAAAAAAAATGGCTAGAAATAACAAATCAGTTGTGATTTTCTAGATTTGTGGATGTACAGTGAATCACTTTCACTAAGTAACCCCAAAAGACAGTTAGCCATATTTATTTTGTTTACTGTACTTGATAACAACGCTCAAAGATCAGAATATCTTGATAAAAGCACACGCCTGACTTCTTTAGAAAAGTTCTCTTTTTTTTAAAAAATAATATTAAGTTGAGCGTTGAGGAAATGAACTTTTGTTAACTGCGTCCCATTTTGATGAAATTCTGCGTCCCATTTTGATGAAATTCTAAATCAAGAACCTAAACGAAGTCTAAATAGACTTTTAGTCTTATAATTACCCAAACAGTCATAAACAACTGCAGCAAAACTATTCCAAGTTGCTCTCTTGTTCAGAAGTTTAGTGAACTCTCTTGTTCAGAAGTTTAGTGAACTCTCTTGTTCAGAAGTTTAGTGAGCTCTCTTGTTCAGAAGTTTAGTGAACTCTCTTGTTCAGAAGTTTAGTGAACTCTCTTGTTCAGAAGTTTAGTGAACTCTCTTGTTCAGAAGTTTAGTGAACTCTCTTGTTCAGAAGTTTAGTGAACTCTCTTGTTCAGAAGTTTAGTGAACTCTCTTGTTCAGAAGTTTAGTGAACTCGTTATAATGATCTTGATGAGCTTTTTTGATCGGTGGAACAACGAAGTTAACAACGAAGCTCGGAATGCTTTGAAAAAAGATCTTGCTAATTAAAATGACAAATTTTCTTGTCAAGAGCAGTGACAATTTTTGGTGAGACCTAACTTGATGTGCACTTTCTGAGGTTCTACTAGCGGCTTTCACTTTGTATTGCTATTGCCTAAATAGACTTCTGCCTACAGACTTCTTTGTCTTTCCAGTAACAGTGCGTTTTAGTGTCACGTTTATTCCAGAGCGAAGGTTATCTCAGCAAAGGAAATAAGGAAATTTTGTAAAAATTGCTTTTAAAGCCCAGGAGAAATGACACCATTTTGAAGTCTCCAATGAACTCTTTTTCATAATTGTCATACTTCAAGGCACTCCGTTTTACCTTAACACTGAAGATCCTCTTTGAGATGCACAAAATTGGTGAGCCAATTTATATAAAGACTTTTATTAATGATCAATGAATACTTTTTCAAAACTTTTTAAATGTCATACAGGTTTTTCTACTGAGGTCTTCATATATATATATATATATATATATATATATATATATATATATATATATATATATATATATATATATATATATATATATATATATATATATATATATATATATATATATATATATATATATATATATATATATATATATATATATATATATATTTATATATATATATATATATATATATATATATATATATATATATATATATATATATATATTATATATATATATATATATATATATATATATATATATATATATATATATATATATATATATATATATATATATATATATATATATATATATATATATATATATATATATATATAATAGAATACATTATAGAATATATATATATATATATATATATATATTATATATATATATATATATATATATATATATATATATATATATAATAGAATACATTATAGAATATATATATATATATATATATATATAATAATAATAATAATAATAATAATAATAATAATAATAATAATAATAATAATAATAATAATAATAATAGAATATATTATAGAATACAGTAATGTACAAATCAAAATAAATTAGGAAAAACTTTTATTTAATGTTTTTCTTAACAACTTGTTTCTCCATCAGTAGGTTCATCAGGAAGAATGTCGCAGTATTTTATGATGATTATCTGGGGTATTTTGATACACATTGCTTGTTTTATGAACAAAAACTAAAATATTAGGGTTTGATTTTACATTATTAATTCCAGAAGTTTATTCCAAAGTTGTCACGCTCTGTTTGAGAAGAAATGGATTCTTGAATTAACAGATGCATGAAAGTCATTTATTTCACAAGGGGTGAAATATTGCATCTGGATTCTGTGACTGTGACCTCTAGTTGTAACCCTCGGGCCAACTAATTTAATTCAAGATTTGACTGGTCTCGTTTAAAGAAAAAAGGACTGGTTTTAACAAAAATTTACGAGACTCTAAATTTTTTAATATCTTATATAACTGAATCAAGTCTCCCAAGTTTTCTTCTAAGATTTAGAATTGTTAGCCCCATTTTAACTAGTCGTTCTTTATAACTAAGCATCCTATTTGAATATGGTATTTTGGTGGTTCTGTGTTGAACTCTCTTGAACATAGAAATTTCTGCTAGTTTTTGTGGATTCCTTATTGGAGTAGCAAATTCAAGATGAGGTCGCACATAGGTCGTGTACAGAATTTTCCAAAAGTGCTTTTTAACAATCTCAGTATTTTTAAAGCTTTATTCACATACACTTGCGTTTGATGTTTCCACTTCATATCCGGTTGTACAAAAATCCCCAGATCTCTCTCTAAAACAGTGTCTGAGAGGTCATGAATCATGCCATTTATATTCATTGTGTATGTTTTAACAATTCTACGTCAAACATTTTGATTACAAAATCTCATCACTTTGCATTTTTTGTAGTTCCGTTCGCCAATCTTTGCACCATCTCACAATGTTATTAAGGTCAGTTTGAATTTCTGCTTCCTTATCTAAGGAATCTTTTATAGCTAATATTTTGCTATCGTCAGCAACAAACCCTGAGAAACGCAACTTGTTACAGATACCCATTCTGAAACTGAGTTACCAAAAATCTTTGTTTCCTATTTTTAAGGAAACTTTCAATTCATTTATATATTTTACCAGTTATATCATATGAATCAATCTTTTTCAATAATCTTTTGTGTTCTACTTTATCAAAAGCTTTTGCAAAGTTTAGATATACAATCCATAAAGGTTTACTCTTTGGTATCTTTTATGTAATAGTATCAATAGTCTCAATGAGATTTGTTGTGGAGGATTTGTTCGGGACAAAACAAGTTTGCTCATCAGAAATAAGACCATTTGAAACTAAATGCTCCAAAATTACCCCACGAATAAGTTTTTTAAACATTTTGCAGATTACTGATGTTAACGATACTGGTCTATAATTTCCTGGATCAAGTTTTGATCTACCTTTATAAATTGGTGATATATTTACAACAGACCATTGGTATCTTACACATCCAGTTTTAAAACTCAATTTAAAAATATAAACTATTGGATCAACAAAACCTTCTGGAGAAAGTTTCACAACATATGGAATAATTTCATCAAAGCCCATAGCTTTCGACTGATCTAAGCCTTCCAACATTTTCAGTATTGTTACACCAGTGGTCATATTAGAAAATAAGTTAAAAATTGATATACAATTTTAAAATTGTTGTTTTATTGCCAATTAATATTGCCATTAAATTTTTGCCAATAAGAACGGTGACAAATCAGAAGGATGAGGAAAATCTTTCAAAGCATGCAAGCTGTGATAAAACTGTTGTAGTTTATGCTATTTTAACGAACTGAGTAAAAGTGTTTCGCATGTAATATTGTTACACATTTTACAGCAAATATCTGTTGTAAGATATGATGACATGTTTTTCATTCATTTTCTAATAAACTTAAAGTTATGATTTTCACTTACTCTGTGAAATAAAATATTATAATCTCTTTTTATTTTTTATTTCTTCTTTAGACTTACTTTATCATCACATTACTTACTACTATCAGAAAATTGACTTGGATTCATTTCGTGATTTTCTTTGTAATGGTCATTCGGCTGATGTCTTTTGCCTCTCTGCTAATAAATACGCAATTACATCTGTCTTTACAAAAAGCCATCACTTTTTGATCGCCTAAAACCTCTCTTTGAAACCATCTCTTAAAAACCTCTCTTTGTATACAATCAATTAAAAATTTGCTAAAGTTTGTTTTCTCTACTGTTTTCTCACTCCCAATTTCATTTTCTACCTTTGTAAATCTCTTATTGGTTTCTGCATGAAATACCGTTGTAATACTTGGGCTGGTTCTTCTAAAGATGCTCTTCCCTTTCTCTTCTTGACACCTTTCTCTTCTTGACAAAGTCTACGTATTTTAAATGTAGTTGGACCTGCTCTTTCTGCCAAGCTAGAGCCACAATCCTATTATCATAAAGTTGCATCTCCTGCTCAAATTTCTAGTTCCACCAAACAAAACTCACTCTTGCTTAACTCGTTATTTAGCAAAGTCGCATCTTTTTACTGTATCTACCCTTTTATGATCTTTAAATTTTATTCATCTAGTTTTTTTCCTCACGTATCAATGCATTGGAACTCTCTACTTAAAAGAGAAAAAAACATAAAGAAAGGAGATTCCTTTCGTTATGTTTTCCTAACTTATAGAATAGTCTATATATAATCTTTTCTCAACTTTTTCTTTTTTTTTTGGGAGTATTTTCTTTAAGTATATTCTTCTTTAAGTATATTTGTAAAGAAACTTCATAACCAAAACCTTTTCAAAAGCTTTTTTGTGTTCCCATCAACATTTGGGTAACCAGATAAATATCTCATTTCGTTCCCTCTACTCCACATAAAATTTGCATGATCTATTTTTCAGGAAACACAAAGATCAATAAATTTAAGTTATTGTATCAATTGCCACCCAAATAGCTCAAATTTTTATGCAAAAAAAAAATAAAAGATCTTTTCCTAAATTTTATACTGTTTACATCAATTTATGTGTAAATGTCATATGCAAATTAAATTCGTTTCATCTTCAAACGGAACTGGGTTTATAATGTTTAAAAACTTATGGTAATCATTTATACTTGAGAAACACCGCAAGTTATAGTTAGAAAGTCATGAAGTTAGACTTTCATTTTTCATTTGATATTTAGTGTTTCCTATTGTTTTGATATTGGTTGAGCTGATTACTTTCAGGCTATGCTTAGCAATATCTCGATAATAAAAAGTTTAAATGTCGTTGTTTCCATGTCAGAAAAGTACTCAAGCACTCAAGGAACAAGGGTTTGAAGGCTTATACCAAGAAACTCCAAAGCGATCAATTGATAGAGAATTAAAAGCAATTCGCAAGGAAGATTGTCAAACTTTTTAACCAAAGAAAATTTAAGCGTACTGCAAAAAAAACGTACTGCAAAAAAAATTCTCACAGTTGCCAAGCTATCAATATCATTATCATTAAGGTGTCTATGTCAGCAACAAGTTTAATTATATTCTGACTAAGTTTGCTCCAAAGATCTATAATTGGCAAGCAATTTACTCTTGTGGCCGTATGAGTGCTCCACTCATACGGCCACAAGAGTAAATCCAATATAGAATTAATTAGTTAAAAAAATTTGGAATTAATTAATTAAAAAAATTTAGAATTAATTAGTTAAAAAAATTTAGAATTAATTAGTTAAAAAAATTTAGAATTAATTAGTTAAAAAAATTTAGAATTAATTAGTTAAAAAAATTTAGAATTAATTAGTTAAAAAAATTTAGAATTAATTAGTTAAAAAAATTTAGAATTAGTTAGTTAAAAAAATTTAGAATTAATTAGTTAAAAAAATTTAGAATTAATTAGTTAAAAAAATTTAGAATTAATTAGTTAAAAAAATTTAGAATTAATTAGTTAAAAAAATTTAGAATTAGTTAGTTAAAGAAATTTAGAACTAATTAGTTAAAAAAATTTAGAATTAATTAGTTAAAAAAATTTAGAATTAATTAGTTAAAAAAATTTAGAATTAATTAGTTAAAAAAATTTAGAATTAATTAGTTAAAAAAATTTAGAATTAATTAGTTAAAAAAATTTAGAATTAATTAGTTAAGTCTTGAGTTATTGCTGTCCGGCCGAAAAACACTGATTCCAACCGATAAATTTTGATCTAGTCTAAGCGTGCGTTTTTATACCAAAATTTTCGTCTTTTTTTTTCTTATAAAAATGTTATGATCTACTGTATCAAAAATTTTTGTCTTTTTTTTCTTATAAAAATGTTATGATCTACTGTATCAAAAACTTTCTGAGATCTATCAAAACCCCAATAGTAATTTTTTTTCATCATATGCTTTAAATCACTTTATTGACAATATGAACAATATTAACAATGACATGATCAGTTGAATTATTTAGTTAATTATTAATTAACTAAAATACGAATTGTTTACTATAAAAAATATTATTCACGTTTTAAAAAATAAAAAATTTGGTTACCATAATTTGCTTTAATATTTTAGAGATGCAAGGAAGCATTAAAATTTGTCAGTCATTTACAGGATAAGAACTATCACCTGATTTAAAAATTGGTATAAACCTCGCAATTTTGACTTTCTCAGGATAAACATCTTGTTTTGGAGAGAGATGTAAAAGAATGTTAAAAATAATAGTAACCTCTCTTATAAATGTAAAAGTGAAACTGTAAAATACTTTATGAATTTTTAAGTACATTATTGCTAACATTATCAAACAATCCAAACCAATAAATAGCCCAAACCAATTGGACTATTCATTTTAAGAAGTTAATAAAAAGTAGAGAAAAAGTTTTTGAAATTTATTTTGTCGCTTAAAATATATATATTAACTTTTAAATTAAAGAAAAATAATGTTTGTATTCATAGGAAAAATTAAAGATTGCTAAGCAATGGTATATATACAGTACTGGAAAAATTATTATGGATTTTTAGAATTGTCATTAAATTCCATTAATTGAGGCAGCCTTCAGTGGTCAAAAAGTTTTCAGTGGTCAATGTTATTCTTTTGTTTTAATGACATACATATATATAGTAGTTGGACTATTTTATTGTCAAATAAAAGCCGTTTAGGGTCTTTTAAGGATTAGACAAGAAAAAGTTGCATAAATTCTGAAATATGTTAGTTTGAGTTTGCGTCACTTTTTTTTACTCTCTGTGATGTACGATGTACTTGGAGCCGTTGAACATGAAAGTTGGACTCAAGAAGATTGGTCCAAGGTAATCTTTAACTTAGCTTTCTGTTAGATCTCTGATTATATTAATTTTTTGATTTCTTTCAGTTTCATTATATTTTTTGACTAATATCAGTAGGTGTTAACTTGTTGATCATGACTAATAATGTTTTCACAATTTTCTTTGAAACTTATCCGGCATTTTTTTGTTCAGTTGGTATTCTTAGATGTGTTGGATGATAGAGTCCAGACAGTCATTGTGGAAGAGCTAGAAAGAGACTGGTTCAATGATAAGGACTTTATATTTCAACAGGATTGTGTTCCTTGCCATATATCACCAAGATATGTCGTGATTTAATCATAGGCATGCCCAAGAAAGTGAAAACATTAAAAGCTGCCAAAAGTGGTCAAGCCAAGTATTAAAAACATTGATATACCTGCAATAAGACTATAGTCTGTAACTTTATTTTTATGTTTTGAAGTGAAAAACTTGATTATTATTTAAAAACTGAAAAGTCAATAATAATTTTTCCAGTACTGTAGAAATGGTCCGCTTGGAGCAGATGTACATAACTCGTATTATATGGGTCATGGTAAGTCAAGTATTCTACATACTTTAAAGTCTATTTATTAAACTTTTTATATTGATTATAATTAATCAACACATTTCAACTCATTCTAAATACTATTTAGACTAATTAATTTCGGATATTAGATACTAATATCCGAAACGCTAATAAATAGTATCCGTAACGACTATCTATCGAAACGTTTAAAAGTTTTTAATGTTAGTTATATTATAAATTTATAATATATGTGTGTGTATGTGTGTGTGTGTGTGTGTACGTGTATATATATATATATATATATATATATATATATATATATATATATATATATATATATATATATATATATATATATATACATATATATATATATATATATATATATATACATGTATATATATATACATATATATATATATATATATATATATATACATACATATATATATATATATATATATATATATATATATATATATATATATATATATATATATATATATATATATATATATATATATATATATATATATATATATATATATATATATATATATATATATATATATATATATATATATATATATATATATATATATATATATATATATATATATATATATATATATACAGTTAGCACGGATCCTTATAATGCCTACCTACCTGTCCCAAGAACGCCACTTATACGGAAAGTTAGCGAACACATCAAGGTACCCTGTGATGCAAATTTTGAAATCATTTAATTTTGTCCGCAGAAAATAATTTAATTTAAATGTTCAAATTAAGTCAAATTTTGACGTTATAGTGCGCCAATAAAAACACTTGTAGAATTTGAACCACTCAATATATTGTGTTACCGTAGCGCAGTGGTTACAATGG